GTAACTTATTTCAGTTCCCTAGCACAGACTTACTACTTGAACTAGCTTGTATTGCACAGACTTACTACTTGAACTAGCTTGCCCTTTGTAGACCGTCATTGGAGCATTTGATATGTACCTTCTCAGTGGGTTACACAACTTTTCTTCTAATAGTGGTGGGATACTGATGATCAGGAATCCTGGATACTATCCCTTGCTCCTGAACAGGAGTATGATTTCATGTGGCTTGACATGTGATAACTAAAAACTGGTTCATTCAGTCTGAAAGAAGTATAGTGCAATGATGCTGTTTGTTCTGATTACAAGTCTGGTTCTATTCCTGGCCACTTGTAGTGATCTTGCATATGTTCTCTAGTAATTTACCTCTTAAAATGGGATTTATAGGCTTAATAAATAATAAGGGGTCATGACAGGGATGTGGGCGGTCCGACCTAGCCGTCGGAGCTGGATCAGACTGAGTCCTATATCAGGAGGTCAGAGAGGCAGGCAAGATCAGGTTACCAGAAGATCAGCAGCAGACATTAGGAGCAAATAATATAAGGGATGCAGTCTGAAGCAGGGAGAACCCAGCTGTGTGAACAACTGTGTTTCTGTATTGGGTTTATATAGTAGCTATGAACCAATCAGGACCTCCAGTATTCCGCCTGTTGGATTCCAGGAGTGGGAACAACAGTTAGCAGGTTACTGTGGGTGGCAGTTTGGAACTTACTAGTTCCAAAGAGTCCTATCGACCAGGGTTCAAGACTTTCAGTCCTTAACATTATCCCTTCCTCAAGAGGCACTCTCTGGGCCTGTTTTTTTGGAGTGCTTCCTATGGGCTATTTGTATGAGTATAAGGTCATTTCTGAAGTTTTGCTCCTCGGGACCATGTACCTCCATGTCAACAAGGTACAAGAGCCTATCATATTTATGTTTAGAGTCCAGGATTTGGTGAATCATGCATTTCTCATGGCCTTTTACTAGTACTGATGGAAAAGGTGTCTGGGGCCCGTGAGGAAAAGAGCCAGCTTACCAAGAGATCAGAGCCCGAGACAGGCCAAAGGGCAAACCCAAGTCATTCTGTGTTAGGAAGATAAGGCAGGGTCAGGTTACCAAGAAAATCAGCAGCAAGAAATAGGCCAAGGTATCAGTGAGGATGCAGTCTGAAGCAGAGACCAAGTTATATGGGCATCTTTGTGTCCTGCATGGTTTGTGTAGAAGCTGTGAACCAATAAACACCGCCCACATTTTGCCAACTGTATTGTAAGGCTGGGATACTCTGTTGGAATCTATCTCCCATTCTAATGAAAATTGCAGGTTGAACCTTTCTGGTCCAGCAGCATCCATGGTGTGGCAGGACCATGGATGTTGCTGGACCAGAGAGCCCCACCCCTGGGCAGCCTTGGGTCTGTGGAATGCTGGTGGTCCTGGGGCTTGCCGCAAAGCTCCCGTGGCCCAGGGAAGAAGAGCCCAGGTGGCCCTGCAGCTGGCCATGGAGCTCTAGTGGCCCTGGAGCAACTGAGTGCTGGTGGCCAATGGGCAGCAGAGCCTCAGTGGCCCTGGTGCTGCAGAGTCTGGCAGCCTTGGGGCAGTGGGGCACCAGCAGGGCTAGGGAGCCTGGCGATTTGCTGATGGATCCTGGGAGAGCCCTGAGCAGAGGGGCCCCTGTCAGCAAAGGGGCTGACCTCTCCAGTTCTGTCAAATTCCCTCTTTCGGGACCAGTCAGGCCCCAAGGGTGCTGGACCTGGGAGGTCCATCCTATGTCAGGTCACTGGGTGGCAGGTTTGTAAATGACAGATAAATAGCAATTAGAAAAACTGAGATATGAACTCTTTTTTCCTATCCCAGCCCAAGAAAAGCTAATCTTCTGTCTTGAACCTCTATTTCTCAGTGATGGCAGATGATTTGCACTGTGGCAGATGTGTTTATATGTGATGGGTTTGACTTTGTGCACATTTTCCCTTTTTTTTCTAAAAGCATATAGAATGCTCTATAGAAACATGCTTATTGTGCTGATTTCAACAATATCAATGATATGTAGTTGGCAACACTATGCAATTCTACCAACTTCTATGCTGCAGAAATTGCAGCTTTTACATCACTATCTCCAAATTGGACAAGATCTCTGAAGTAATAAGTTCCCTTTGTTTTGACAACATTAAATAAAGATTTTTTTCCCCCCAGTACCAAATAGGCATTATACAGAATTACATCCTGTTAGTGTGTGGTTTTCACAAAGTTCTGAAGAGACCTTTTTTTAAGAGGTGAGTTTCAGGGCAGTCCCTTAATCTGGGAGTTAGCTACTTGGAAAACCAGCCTAACCTCTTGTATAAACAGCACTAGATTGGTGGGAGAATGAGATGGAGAACCTTCGCAGATGGAAGGGTTTTTTTTGTCACTCTAGGTAGCGTGGTCCTTGAAGCACTATTGTGGCTCAACTGTAACAGTGCAGTTAAGTATAGAAAAGCCACAGTCTTTAAACTTACATGGTTAGTAGTCTTGAAGAAGAAATGTTCCTTGAAGAGGGAGTAGTGGTTTCTGAGTTTTGGAAAGAAATTAACTTAAGGATTCTCCATAACTTATTTCCTATTTAATATGAGTCATATTCAAATGGTATTTTATATAAGTAAGTAGTTACAACAAGGTCATTTGATTCTATATTTTTACATTTCACTGTTCACTTAGCAGTGATATTAGGGAACTATCATATAAAATGCTTGCATCTAAATACAGGATATTTGCAAATAACTTAAAAGCTTACTCTGTGTTAAACATTTGGAGAATAAAGAGATGTTTTCACCTTTAAATGGAATCATGAGTTAAGTAATAACTTCTGTTAAACATTTCCCAACTAGAATTGTTCTCCTTAAAGTCTTTATTCTTTTAATTATTGACTATTTATAAAAAGTTAATTTTAATAAGGATTCCTAGGGGTATTTGTTAGTGAGCTGTTATAACAAAACTAAGTTTTTTTTCTTTGTAGAGAGGAAGGAAGGGGATGGAGAGTTTGAGGCAATAGAGGCCCTTAGAATTTGTTTTATGGCTTTAGTAATGTATCCAGCACACCAGTCCCTTCTGGGATACCTTAAAATAAAATACAAAAAATCTTTGCCTAATTTTCACATTCAGATCTCTAAAGCATAAATATTTTAGAGTATTTTCTTGAAGTAGAGATTGTGTACCTGGTAACCTGAAAGTCTTTAAGTAGAGAATATGTGTCCTGCTTTTTAGATCTTTTTTTACCCACTTGTTCTTATGTACACCATACTATTTGTAGTAATTAACTTTAAAGTTTGCAATTAAAGACTTCTATCAAATATTCTGTGCCAGGTACAAATTACCATTATTTATATATATGGGTTTTTAAAATATAATATATGTTAGAAGCAACACTGAAGTTGTAGAACTGCATTTGGAGGTCACAGTTCTGGCTCTCACTGGGTTGGGGACCTACCCCCGCTGTGGCTCTGCATTTAAAATGTATTAGGAGTCGGGTGGGCAGGCAACCTGGCTCAGTTCCAGTTGGCACCAGATCCAGGAGCCCAGACCTCCACTAGACAGGGACTGCTGCCACCCTGCATTGCGGCCTCTTTATCAGAGGCAGCAGCAAAGGGCGACAAGCAGCTGGTCCGCAAGGGGAGCTGGTTTTTAAACTGGCTCCCCTTGCGGACTAGCTCCCGCCTGGCACCTCATGCTGCTGCCCGGTCGACTAACCAATAAGAATTCATGAGGTTACTCGACTTTTCAATTAACCACTATTTAACATCCCTAGTCTGGATTTGTCTACCCTTCAAATTTGTTGTAATTCTCAGCACAAGTAGACATACTCACATTAGTCCTGATTGAGCTACTGCACTAAAAGTAAGCATAGCCACAGAGAATACAATACTGTGGTCTCCGACAAGATTGAAGTGAATTGAAAGTATCATAAAATTCAGTGAAGGCAAATTTATAATGTATGAAATGTTATTATTCCTAACCATTTTTGCAGAAATATTAATTCAAAACATTTTCAATAATGTT